GAGGGCACGCCCGAAATGCTTGTACGTGTTGCAGCTGAAAGAGATGGACTCTTTTGGCCATCCCCAGCTGTTATTACGGCTTTGCCGAGCCCTAGTGATGTGTGTTGCGCTATGGCCGCTCTGAAAAGCCGCAAAGCGTGTGGACCTGATGGCATTCCGGCTGAGTTCTTTAAGGCAATGCCGTCAGAGGTGGTCCAGCTGGTCCTGCCTCTTATCCTCAAGCTGGGGATCCTCGGCGAGGAGGCTGTTGGCCTCAAGGGTGCTTCGATGACGCACCTTTACAAGCACAAGGGGCCTAGGAACAAATGCGAGTCCTATCGAGCCATCATGTTGCTTCCAACCCTGACTAAAGTCATCCACAAAGCCTTCAGACCGAGTCTGTACGAGCACGTGATTGCGAGTGCCCCCCCCATCCTTCTGGGGGGCAAGCGCGGGGCCTCTGCTGTTTTCGGTAATCATGTGGTGCGTTCCTTCTGCCGGTGGTGTTCCAGGGAACGGCGACCTGCCTGTGTTCTCTTTGCAGACGTTGCTTCGGCATATTACCAGTCGGTTAGGGATCTGACCGCCCGCAGAACTGTAGTCAGCGAGGGCTCGGTCCGATCCTCTGCTCTGCCCCTGGACGAACCTGGTTGTGATGGGCTTGCTGAGCGTCTTGCTGGAGACAGCGCTTTTGCCCGAGGAAACGCTTCGTCATGGCTGGAGTCGCTTGCAGCCGAGCTGCACAGGGGTTCCTGGTTTTCTCTTCGAGGGGATCATGTCCCTGTGGTTACCCGCCGGGGGTCTCGCCCAGGTTCAGCACTTGCGGATCTTATGTATAGTGCTGGAATTGAGTCCATCGTTGCTATGCGGGACTCGCTGCGGGCTGCCACTCCATCTGCCGGATCGGTCCCTTCCCTGCCTTGGGACTCTAGAAGGGACTTGTCTGAGCGTTCCCCACCACGGGAGTTTGTGCCACTTACAGATGTGATTTGGGCTGATGACCTTGCCACTTGCTTGACACTTTCGTCCTCGCACATGGCTTCGCTGCAGACAGCTATTGAGGCATCTGTCCTTGATGAATCGTTTGCTGCGCACGGGTATACGCTCTCGTATGGCGCAGCCAAAACAGCTGCAATGGTTGCTCTGCAAGGGCAGGGGGCACGCTCGGCTCGGAGAGACCTCTTCCGTGGCAAGGGTGTGCTTAGCGTGGTTCGTGAGCACGCGGAGCCTGCGTCCCTCCCGTTGGTTGCAACATACCGGCATTTAGGGGTGCTTATCAGCGCCAACAACTCCTTCCTGCCAGAGCTGCGAGCTCGCAGCTCATCTGCGTGGTCTGCCTTCCGTCAGGGCCGCCTCAAGGCATACAGGTGTCGCCGCATAGCTGTAGCCCGAAGAGGTGCCCTCCTCTCCACGATGGTGCTTCCGCGCCTGCTCTTCGGAGCGGGGGCGTGGCCGAGCCTCCGCAAAGGGGAATGCAGCTTCTATCACCGCACAGTCTTCGCGCTGTATAGGCAGACCCTTTGTGTTCCACACGGCGAGGATCAACATATCTCCGGGGCTACTGCTTGTGCCCTCCTCCAACTGCCTGACCCGGCCACACTTCTCCGAGTGGAGCGGCTTCGGTACTTACGGCAGCTGGTCCAGTCTGCACCGGATGCTCTGTGGGCGCTGATTCGTCAAGACAATGCTTACCTCGAGGAAATGCGCTCGGCGCTGAGCTGGCTCTTTGCCAGACTGCGCGCCACTGTCGATCTTGGGGACCCTCTGGCGCACTGGGAGTCCTGGGGCGATGTTATGCGCTGTGCTCCCGGGCGTTTCCGAGGCTGGGTTAAGCGTGCTGTAGTTTTGGAATCATGCCGCTTAGTGCTTTATGCGTCCTTTCATGCCTGCAGGCGCTTTTTCCTCACTTATAGTGATGAGCCCCCTGCACCTTCTGGGGATGTGCGATATGTCGAGGCCTGTCTCCCATGCCGACTGGGTTTTGTGGATAGGGTGTCATGGGCCTGCCACGCTAGCAGGGTACATGGGTACCGCACCCGTGCCACCACGCTGACAGCCGGCACCACACAGGCTTGGTGCAGTGGTTGCGGGCGTATGTACGCCAATAATGCCAGGATGCGCAGGCATGTCTTTATGACCCCAGCCTGCCAGCGGAGGTGGGGCACTTTCTGCCCGGCAGGGCCTGTGCTAGCTGAAGGCGTCCACCCGCAAGCTCCGCCCGTACAGCCGCCAGGAGACTGCACGCCCTTTGGGGAACCCGAAATTGACTTTGCAGCAACAGGCCATCCAGCCCTGCTCGATGCCCTTCTGGCCTTGGAGGCTGCTGATGAGGATCGCGTTTGGGAGGTGGTCCAGGATTTCATTGCTCCGTTGCAGCATCTCCGGGCTACTGTTGAGGCCTGGGGCTCGCACCCGTCGGCCCAGGCTTTTGTCCCTGACCTTGTCCCGGACCTTCTGCTTTTGCTTGATCCATA